CTACGAGGCCATCAATGGCATGAAATATTTGAACGCCGTGGTAAACGAATCTCTCAGAATGTATCCAATAGCAGTTTTCCTGGACAGAAAATGCATTAAAGAGACTAAATTACCACCAGCGACTCCGGATGGCGAACCGATCACGATAAAGCCTGGGGATAGCATATGGTTCCCGCATTTTTCTCTGCATCGTGATGCAAAGTATTATCCACATCCAGAGAAGTTCGATCCAGACAGATTTTTTAACGGCAATGTAGACAGCTCAGTCTATATGCCATTTGGTATCGGGCCCAGAATCTGCATAGGTAATAGGTTCGCCCTAATGGAAGCAAAAATTATGCTGTTTTATCTACTTTGGCGCTGCGATGTCGAACCTGACGTTAAAACTAGAATTCCGCTAGTATTGAAGAAAGCATTTCCCATGCGGCCAGACGGAGGTTTTTGGTTCAAGTTGCGAGCGAGGAAATCGAAGGCCTCTGTTACACAATGCTTATCGAACGGACACGGAGTTGAATGATATGGCATATTTAAATTTTAAACATAAACTTATATAATTCGACTTTTGAAATTGTAACGAGAATCCACCCTTTTTCTCAATTAAATAACGTATAAGAAATTACAAGTAAAAGTTTTAGAGAAGGTTTTCTTTTAATACGTATTGTTATAATAAAAGTTTATCAAATGTTAAAAATGTTTTGATAAGAGATAATAATTGTAGTACTAATAAAGATATTTTTCTTATTGTTTTCATTTACATATAAATCAGATGAGTTTTTTTTAATAATAATTGATATTAATTTTTTTGCATTATTTAATATTAGCCTTCTACAGTTTATTTTTTACAAAACATAAATTAATATTGAAAGTTTTAATCTAATTAATTTTTTAAACTGAGTGGATCAACATATTTAAATTGTAAACGGCTTATTATTCAATTTAATATGTCACGTCAAATGGCTTGTATATAAAATATTTGAAAAAAGTGCAATCTTTTTAAGTTAAGTCTAATTTTTACTTACAATAAATATAAAAATAATAGCTTTATAAAAAGTTTGCTCAAAATGTTTTAAAGAAATGATGATTTTTTTATTATAATCTAAAATAATATTTTAAATCGTTGTATTAATAAAATAATGTGGTATTATTTCGACAATCTATTTAAAAAAAGCATGAAAAATCAAAGAAATAAAAATTTTATAAGAAAATAAATTTATTCTTTTTTTAATAAATGCTTTTCTTATTATTTTATTATATGTTTCGAATTATTAAAACTATATGTAAAATAAATAAATATAATAAATAATAAATTAATAAAGTTAATTGTCTTCAATGTCTTGTTTGAGTACAAAACGATATCTTGTACAATTATATAATAAAGTATAATACTTGGAAAAAGATTGCATAACTAAAAATTATTTGTGATAAGCTAAAGTTTATTGATGTGAGCATCATTCTTTAATCACGTTATCCCAAGACATATGAAAAGTTACATAATACACACATTTTTCTAGTTATACATATATTATACGCTTCTATCTTCTTCATGTAATATGTGTTAAAATAATATAATTAAATACCTAAGTAAGAAATTAAATACCTCAAATATATTTTATTTCTTTAAATAACAACAATACAAAATATATCAATACTTGAGACAGAGATAAAAAGAAAAAGAGAGAAAGAGTTGAGACAAAAATTAGTTATATTAGTATATGTACAGTAGTGTAATTACTATATGTGTAATACTGTTAAATTATTCGTATTCTCTAAAACAATAAAATACTAGGTTAAACGGAAAATTTGTTCCATTTTTTCTTTATACTATTGCCATATTATTCATACTAATGTTATCTCTTTGTAAGAAGCAAAATAAACTTTCTATGCTTAATATTATGTACAATAAATGTAATAGATTAAAGCAGCAATGAAATTGTTGTTTTATCTATGGAAATTTATTTTTATTTAACTAGATAAAGTTATTCTTTGCAAACAAATAAACTCTTGAAAGTACAAATAAGGAATTTACAATTCTGTAGCTAAGGGAATTTGCTTATATCTGCAATTAAATACAAAAAGCAATGTTATGTCTAAATATAATATAATATAATATTATAAATTGATAAAAGTAGATTAAATACATTAATTAATAAAATATAAGATAAGAAATATTATTAATGTGTTGTTAAAAAAAATTTTTAATATTCTTATTTAATTTTATTTTATTATGTTTAAATAATTTTATAATATTTAAAATAAATATTTCGTTAGTCTATACTCAAATATATTTAACTGTGATATAGTTAAAGTGAGATTTATACATCTTCAGCTTAGAACATATATGTTCTAAGATTCAGTTAGTCTTTAACCTATCAACTCAAATCACACATAATAAATTTTATATGTCAATAATCTTGTGTAATAATTAATAATCTTGTCAGTAGTATAAGATATATGATATGTCCTATTAAACTAATGCAATTTTTTGCAAACAATATTTTGCGAACATAAAGCAAAAATAATTGATATAGAGGAGAAAAATCATCTTTATATCTTGCGTATTTTCAGATAACGTACCAGAACGATAAGATATCGCTTGTTGATTATGGTAATTTTTTTAAGCTTTCAGATAAAAATTAAAAAAGTAATAAAATCAGTAGTAATAATACAGTAAATTGACTTATTAAAAAATTAATAATATCTCTCTTTTGTACGTTTCTGTATGCGTATTATGTAATTGATATTTGTTTATACTAATCCTCCTTTCTAAAAGAAGGCATGTATAAAATCGATTAATCTCATTTCTCAAAGTTTAATGTTATCATTTTTCCGTGATGCCAATTTTGCTTCTTTCATTACTTTGTGAGTGGCTCTTATCGTATATTTTGAAATTTGTGTATATTAAGGGATTAATAGTGTAATACCACGTAATTGTATGCATTTAAGTGTACTTAAAAGCGCGCTCAAAGCACGTGTTTGTGTGTCTAAATGTTCGTTATCGAATGACTTTTAGCTTTTTTTGTATAGATATAAGTTACAAAACAATTAAATTTGTTTATATCAGGGCATAGTCAGAACTCCTTTTTTCTTCATACACACATTACGATTATCGACATATCCTTCTCTTCTATGATGATGATGATTCGTTTGGAATCGCAATGATGGGAACGTAATTTAAAATTGGCAGAGCCAAATTACTAACCTATCTCATAAACATACGACTTTAGATAAAAACGATAAGAAATATTAAGGAATAGAGAACAGAGATAGTGACATTTGTCTGAGATTAAAAATGAAGAGTGCTCGAAAGAACTGTGGTGCAAATTTTCGCGTAGAAAACCTGTGAGTATTGAATATTCCGAAAGGAAGTAATTCTCTTTGTCAATATTGAAGCACAATGAAAAATAAATCTAATATATGTATATGGAGTTAGTCAAATGTCGATTGTTCATGATCTGTAATTTATTAAAATTTGTGATTTCTTATCTACGATAAGTATAGCATTTATTTATTAGTAATGACGTTTCTTTTGTGTAAAGTGTCTGGGGTATGCAGAGACTGGTAACATATTCGCTATACTGAGGCCAAGGTATGACAGAATATACATGTACAGAATATACACAAACTTGTTTCTCTAGTGCTGCCAGCAAAACCATCTTTCTTGCTGCTTTAACGAGAAAGCTCGAATTGACTTCGGGCGCAGTAAAGATCAGCGAGCATAATAATGTTTCTCGAGATGGCAACAATATCAAACTATATGTCGCAATTTGATGCTCTACCTTCCGCACTCACACCCAGAGAACATATGTCATTCATAATATTAAAGATATATATATATATCTATGATAAAGATCGAAAAATCTACCCTCCACTGCACCGGTACGTCTTATTTTTCCTCCGCACACCCGCTTGCTCCGCACAATTAAATCAAATTCGACCGCAATCGCCGTCTGGATAACGTTTGCGCACGAGACAGCCATCGCGCCCGAGAATATGGAAATTGCCGTGATTATATGCTAATCAAAATTAAAATATCAAGAATATTTTACGTAGTATTTCCGAGACACGAATTAACACCCGATTTCACCCGATTAACATCCGCGTTCAGACTCGAACTATTTACAAATGTCAAAGTGATCCATGATAGAATCGAATTTCAATTGGACCGGAGGAATATCAGCAATCTCGTCACTCGAGTCTCTAGGTACTGAGGCAAACAGGGATATCTGAACCATACGCACCGGTCATGCCCCACGCGAAAGAAGACGTCGATCGCTATAACAATAGATAAATAGATCGATACTTGTAATTACACAGGTGGCCTGTAGCAGTGCAATTACAAGTCTAAACGCGCGAATTTTATTATATATAATCACTAATCACCTTTTGGTGGTCATAACTCAATAACATTCCATTATTGAGTTCGACATGATCGACATGATTCTTGTGTCTCTTGTCGCTAAGCGCCGACCCGACGTGGGCTGGGCTGTAAGAAAGAGCGTGTTTGTTATTCCATACTGATACAGCCGATTCGTCAGAGATGTGACCCTCCGCCTCAAATCAAAATCTTATTCTATCATGGGAGTCACGACGAGTTTGATAATTTAAAAACACGATAACTCAACCGAAATATGCCCCACGCGGAAGAAGGCGTCGATCGTGTATCGGGCGTTAACAGATTGATACTTGTAATTACAGGTGGCCTCCCTGTATAATTACAAGTCTAAACGCGCGAATTTTATTATATATGATTAATCTAAGTCTGAAAATTTAACGGCAATATTTTCCACAGCTCGAAATGCGAATTAAGTTCAATTTTATTCGCGATAATCGCGTTATATACTTCTAATAATTCCGAAATAATTATACGAGATCGCGTGCGAATTAATAAGATAAGGGATTCTTAGAGTTGTTAGAGTGTACCGATGGACGATTAGGCTTTTCGATCTTCATCGTGAATTAATAAATATATACATATATATATATATATATATATATATATATATGTATATATAAGAATCTATGAAATAGTGCGGATAATAAACTTATAATTATTGTAATTTTTATACGGAATGAATTATTTTTAATGTCTCAAGCTGCTCCTTTTAGTGCAATTTGAAAGTAAAAAATAGTTGCAGTGTGCTACGAAGAAAATCCTTATAGGAATTTCTGAGGGCTCTCAGATTGTGCGATTATAGTCCATCGATACCGTTATATCTAAGTTATCTGGCAACGAAAAGAAGCACTTGTCGCTAGCCACGGAATTGTTAACGAAACCAAATTTTTTTTTAGACGAGCCAACCACGGGTGAGAATTGATCAAAACGGTACGCGACATAACATCTTGATTGCTGCATGTCGATCATTAATTGTCGTGATGTCGAACGCAGATCTATTTACAATAATAATTTTTGTAAATTTTATATATTCCACCTTTATAAATGTAATCATTTATACTATTAATAATTGATGTAATATTACTAATATTGTAAATAAATATTCGGGTGTAGGTTTAAACACTTTCGCGGCAACACGCGTCGCGCAGTCATTGAAATTAATTGTTTCAAAAGACACCATAGTCCTCTGCACAATTCATCAACTAGATATGACGGTATACAATATATTCAGCCATGTAATATTAATGACTGATAGTAGATCTATATATTTTGGATCTGTGAGAAACGCCACAGATATTTTTGATATTCCGATTGTTGAGATTTTGAATTCCGACTTTCGCAATTAGATT